AAGATAGCAGACAGAGACAGGCAAATCCTTGGAGGCCTGTGGACCAGCTAGTCCAGTGTGCACAGTGATGAACAACAAAAGAGACCCTGTCTTGAAACAAGGTGGAAGATGGAGGGCCAGCTCCTGAGGTTGTCCGACCTCTGCATTATAACATGAATCTTAAAAGGTCTTAATAATAAAAACAAACCCAGAGCCAGGTATTGGGGTAAATGCTGAAAGATCAGAGAGACAGAACCAGCCACAGCTAACCTCACCTCGCCAATTCCTCAGCTGATCTCGTTTCCTCAAACTGGAAGCTTCTGTGTCCTCATCCAAATGGATCTCATCTGAACTGCTGCTCAAAAGCCTAAAAGCTTAACCGGGCTCTAGTTCCTGGTCTTTATGCCTTATATACTTTTCTGCTTCCTGCCATCACTTCCTGGGATTAAAGGCGTGTGTTACCATGGCTGGCTGTTTCCAGTGTGGCTTTGAACTCACAGAGATCCAGATGGATCTCTGCCTCCAGAATGCTAGGATTAAAGGTGTGTGTGCCACCATTTTCTGGCCTCTATGTCTGTCTAGCGGCTGTTCTGTTCTCTGACCCCAGATAGGTTTATTAAGGTGCACAATATATTGGGGGACATAATATCACCACACTGTATGCATGAATTTCATGTACAAACAGCACATACATCACACATACCAATCAACCCACCAACCAGCCGATCATCCAACCAATCAAGTAGTCTTATTCGTGTGGGTCTATTTCTGTGGACCTTCATTCTTTTCCATAGAACTCTCTGCAAAAGTATGTTTTTCTGATTACCCTGGCTATATAATCAACTTTATTATCAACAAAGGTGATTTTTTTTCATTTCATTTCTCTTTGTCACCATTATTTTAGCTACTGAAGGGCCTGAGCCTTCCACAGAAGTTTTAGATAAGCTTGCCTGATCCAATAATTGGTTTTATGGGTCAGCTTGATTAGGCCATGGCATGCCTGACATTTGGTTAAAAATTGTTCGGGTTGTGTTCCTGGATAAAATGAACTTTTTCTTTTCCTATTTCTTTTTCTTTTCTTCTTTGAAGTAGGGTCTTTTTGTGTAGGCCTGCTTCGAACTCACAGCGATCTGCCTGCCTCTGCCTCCCAAATGCTGGGATAAAGGCATGCTCTGCTATGCCCAGAGAGACTAACTGTTGAACCAGGAGTCTGAGTGAGAGAATATGGCTTTCACCGGTGTGGGTGGTCAGCATCCGTCCACTGAACAGAGCAGGAAAATCGAGGAAGGGGAGACTTGTGTGCGCTCTGGTACGTCCTTCATGGGGGGGGGCACCAATCTCCCCACTCCCACTTCCTGCCTTACATTCTCCTGGTTCTCAGGCCTTTGCACTTGGCCAAGAACTTCCAACACTGGTGTCCCTTTCTGGGCCCTGAAGCAGGGCTGGAGCTGCACTGGTCTCTAGCTTGCTGACTGCAAATACTCAGACTTCTCATTCCTTATAACCAGGAAAGCCGATCCCTTACCATAAGTCTCTGGTTAACACAACCAGAGATTGTGTTGGTTCTGTGGCTCTGGTGACCTGGTTAATGTACTCATATCTCTAAAAGCCTTGATGGAATTCTTATTGGATAAGCTTTTAGGTCAGTTGCTGTGGGAGAAATGGTGCCTTTGTTCTGCTGTACCTGGCTGCCCAGGAACACAGTAAGTATCTCCACTTACTTAGCTCTTCTTTGACCTATTTTATGATCTTTAGCAAACAGATCCCATGAATATTTTATTGAATACACCTCTAAGTACTTTATTATTTTCTTTGGCATACCATAAATGGCAAGGTGTTGCAAATGTTTCTTTCTGCATGTTTATAAACAACTATACAAGACATACTTTTACATGTTTGCTCTCATGGAAGCTTTTGATGAACTCATTATAGAAAGTTTTCTGTGAGTTCCATGGGATTTTCAAGATAAACAATCATGCCATTGTAAAGCAAGACAGCAGTTTTATTTCTTTCATTCAAATGCATGTGTCTTTTGTGTATTTTTTTTGCTTGTGCAATAGCTGGGACTTCCAGTATTATTTTAAGTGTGGTGAGAGTACACATTTGTGCCTTGTCCCTGCTCTTCCCTAAGAGTCATCCCTCTCAAGTATGATGTCAGCCATAAGCTTGTGTGTATGTGTGTGTGTGTGTGTGTGTGTGTGTGCATGTGCGCACACGTGCACGTGCGCTTGTGCACGCGTGCGCGCATGCTCATTGTTGAGTAATTTCCTTCTTTAGTAAGTGTTGGATTGTTGTATTTTATAAAATGCTTTTCAACATTCATTGATAAGATCACATGATTTCTCTCATTATTTTATTTTATTTTTGAGACAGGGTTTCATGTAGTCCAGGTTTTCTATGTAGTGGATGGTAGCTTTGAACTTTTTTTTTTTTTAAATTTTTTTGTTTTGTTTTTTTGTAAGATTTATTTATTTATCATATAGACAGTGTTCTGCCTGCATGTATCCCTGCAGGTCAGAAGAGGGCACCAGATCTCATTACAGATGGTTGTGAGCCACCATGTGGTTGCTGGGAACTGAACTCAGGACCTCTGGAAGAGCAGCCAGTGTTCTTAAACTCTGAGCCATCTCTCCGACCCAGCTTTGAACTTTTGATCTTTCTGCTTATACCTTCTGAGTGCTGGGGTTGCAGACATGTACTACTACTGCACCTGGTTAGTTCAGTGTAAGGCATTTCCCCCTCTGGTGCATCTTGGGCAAGCACTCTATTAATTGATGTACATTCTCAACCCCAATGCTTTTTCTTCCTTAGTTAACAGAAATTATGGACTACACTGATTGATTTTTTAGATCTTGAAGTAGCTATCCTGAAATATTTAGAATAAAGCCCACTTGGTTACAATGTATGATTCTTTGTATACATATTGAATTCAGTTGGCTTTTTTACAATAATAATATATTCTAGCTAAGTTCATGAGACACTCTGAGCTCAAGCTTCCCTTTTCCCTACCGCCTCTTCCGTGTTTAATCTTGTTGTCAGGATGATACAGGTCTTGTGAAGGGAGCTGGGGAATCTTCTGGAAAGCAGTGTTAGCAATTCTGTAAATGCTTGATGAACTCTGTATTTTGGGGAACTTGAATATGTTGCTGGAAGTTTTTCTTCAAGCATGAAGTATGATTTATCATGCTCATGGAGAGGATTGTTTTCTGTCCCAGAATTCCTGAACTTTCTATTGTTCTGTCTCCTCCCCCATCACCCAGGATTCTCTCATCATCCCTCTGAACCTCTCTAACCAGTCAGTCTCTGAGTGTGGTCTGGGATCTCTCAGCAGGCATGTTCCCATTTCCCCATACTGTTGTTCCATAAAGAATGTTCAGTTGAGTGGTATTTCTCTCAGCACCCCATACTTCTAGCTTCTGTAGCAACATATGAACAGCTTTTAAAAAGCTTTATTAAAATACGGAGTTTATTTCGCACATCTATTTTTGTCTCCCTTCCATTCCCACATCTGACCACCACTGTTGCTGTGTCCTATCATAACATTTCGTACATGCTTAAAGCCTAGCAAAGGGTGGAGTTCTGTCCTTGAAAACTAAACAGGCCATTTTAGACAACACATTCTCGGCAATGGAGCCTGGACAACATTTATCAAACACAGTAGAGAAAGTTCTCACTTTGCATTATAAAAAGGACAGTCAGATATCAGCTGTGACAGAAATGAAGTAAGATAGAATATTTCAGACTGTTTAAACTATTTTTTTTAAAAAAGAGACTTCCTCCACTGCCAGAGATCTTGAATAGCTTTGTGGTCAGTCATCCGGAAGCAATTCTTCACATAATTAATGAACTTGGCTTCCACTTTGGGAAGAGAAGCACCCTTTTCGATACTTGCTTGCATTTTTGCATTAATGTCTTCTACAGAACTAGGTCCTTTTGGTGTTACAGGAGTGTCTCCCCCACCCCTACCCCCCCACCGCCGCTTTTTTAAGTCTTTTCCATTTCGGTTTAATTTTTGGGACTGTTTGTCTGGCGTATCTTGTACACATTTCTTCAGTCTCTTCATCATCTTTATCATTCTCAGCATCTTTGTCAAGTTTTACCTTTTTCTGTGGAACCTTGTTACCACCTCCGGGAGCAGATCCCTTT